GACACTCTTGTAGGCGGGGCATTCCACGATAGATCGTACCACTTTTTTCCAAGTTGACACCCTCATCTCTCGGAATTTGACGAGAATTGGTCTCAGGGGTAATCAGGGGCTCTGAATCCACCTGTAACAATTTCAGGCTTATCAGATAAGTATTTTTTGAGTTATGGTGTATAACATTTTTTGGATCTTGCTTTGCAGCGCTAAGTTTGGCGGGCTGTAACTCTAAGACGGATTATTCAAATGCCAAATGTTATATAACATTGAACCTGCAATGAAACAGAGATTAATATGTATTTTTGAAATTTCGAAAAATAGGTACGCTATTTTTGATATATGACATATCGAGTTTTCTTTCATTTGTATTTTTTGGACTTTGGGACCAAATTTTTTTGAATTTTTATTTCTTTAAAGAAATAGTTGGCTCATTGTTAAGAAGCATGCAAAAAATTAGGAAGGTGTTCTTTCTATAAATGTATTTATTTTACGTCACGATAACGGTTTCGAATAGTGATTTCGGGAGGGGAGCTTACAAATGGCGTGGTAAAGCTGCCTACTATGCATTTCAGACCCCATGAGACCCTGTTTTTTGGCGATAATTTATTTAATATTTGTCCAATTTGCTTCAAATTTTCACAAAGGACATTTCAGCTCAAGCGCCAATTTTCGTCAATATGGTCTCTTAACAAAATATTAAATTTAAGGGTACTTGTCGTTGCCTCGTAATGTTAAAATCGGCTCCGTAAATCCGTCAGTGGAGTAGAGGCTATCCGTGCGTACGCATGACGTCACAAACACGTGACCATTAAGCTCCGCCCTCCCGGTGGACGGGGCGGTGACCTTGGCCGGTCAGTCGGCTGCGTGGAGCGGGCGGCGGTGGATGCTGCACCGGGGCGGCTCGCATGGAGCGTAGCTGCCGTGCAGTTGTTGCAGCCGTAACTTCATCGAATGAGCAAAAAAAAAAAGCGCGCATAAGTAACGCACTAGCTGAAGCCCTTGACTTTGTATTTATCACAAATGTACGTACTTCCTGTTCAGTCACAAAAATATAAATTCCACACAAGATTCGGGGCTTGTGAAAAACGCACATAAAAGACGCTGTTGATTTCAAGTGGTTGCGTAAAATTATGTATCAGGTCAGACTACGTCCAAATTACAACAAACAAAATGTGTTTCTTAATTCTACACCTTTTATGTCGGAACATTTTTATGTTTCTAGAGCTCTGTAGGCCTGACAGCTCTTCCTGCGAAACCTTTCCCGTATAGTGCTGACAGTTCCCGTATGGTGCTCAACGTCCGCCTGCCACATTCCTATTTCTTTTTGTGCACGTCTTAACAAATAACAATATAACACATACAGCGATAAAGGACAATTCGACCACACGACACATCACGCTTCTGCTCCAGCCGGCGCCCCGCACCGCTTTACGAATCACGAATACGGTCGTCTCGCTGGAGTGACGCCCCAGGCAATCGGCCGCGCCCGCGACATTTAAGCCCTTGTTACACTGCCGAATTTTGGTACACGAATGTGCACGAATATGCAAGTCATCCTATATCGCGGATCGATTCGGGATCTTTCTTCCACGGTCTTGGCATTTCGCAGACCAGTCGGTGCCCACCGCGCGACTTTTACGGTTCGTCACGACCGCCACGAATATTTCATGAAAAATGAAAATTTCGTGGCCGTTCGCCGAACTTATAATAAACGAACATGATCGCCAAACACTCGCCGAGTCACCGCCGACATGTCGCTACGTGCGCCGACTTGTTGCCAAGGTATCGCCGACTATTCGCAACAGATTCGCCATTCATTCGCGATGTTCGCCGAATCATGGATCAGCTTCGACCCGCGCACGATTAGGGGGGCCCCCCACCCGTTGTCTGCAAATCGGGCTCTGTCGGCGAACCGTTCGCCTCTGTCGGTGAACTGTTCGCCGATTTCCTACACGACGTGATTCGGCGACAGGGTCGTGGCCAAAATTCGGCAGTGTAACACGGCCTTAAGTCTTAATTCTACTTTGTTGCTTTCTGCGCCTTCCTCAGAAACATTTATTGAAGCTGCCAAATACTCGTATATCAATATTTTTGGGTCATGTGAAGGCTTACGCATGATCTCACAGGTAATCGGGTATAGTGACCTGACCCAGCCTGACGATCAGATAGGTGCAACTCCGGCGTAAATAAGTGCCCAGAGTCCAAGACTTCATCTATCTTTTCTCTTACGGCCGGTTCGGTCCTATAATATAATTGATCCTACTCTGATTCTGAGGCCAGTTTTACCAACAGAAAAATGGCCGCCTGCCGGAAATTTTCACCTAAGGACCGCTTCATATACGGAGCGTAAACGCGATGGGCACGTAATCAGATAGGTTTTGCTTTTTACGCTCCGTATCTGAAGCAGTCTCCGCAAAAAAAAAAATCGGCAGGCGGCTATTGTTCTGTTGGTAAAACTGGGCTCTGATCATTATGAATATTATGAGCTGGTTCGACGTTAAAATACCAAAATATGGAGAAGAGGACACCACTGCCCTCGAACGGATAATTTTTGGGCTTTCGTCCCGAAACAACTTTGGCCAGCTCCATTGTCTCCAGTATGCGGTCCTGATGCGACCTCTCCGCGGTGCTGACGCCGACTGCCCATCGCGGCCACGGCTAGTGGGCGGAGTTAAGCTGGGCCCGGCGTAACGTGATTGGCCAGCGCTCCTATCCAATCCGGTGCGGCAGCGAGCGAGCCTCTATCCGGGTGCAAAAACTGATTAACATTACGAGCCAACGACAAGTGCTCTAAATTTTGATATTTTGTTAAGAGACCATATTGACAAAAATTGGCGCTTGAGCTGAAATGCCGTATGCCAAAATTTCAAGCTGATTGGACAAAAATTGGAGAAATTATCGCCGAAAAACAGGGTCTCATGGGGTCTGAAATGCATAGTAGTGACATCACGGGTTACTGAAATTTCAATTCAAGTCTGAGTCATCTGAAAAAAAAGTGAAAAGAGGGTTCATTCAACCCTCTTTCCTATAAGCGCGAGGGTGAAAAAGGCTGTTTGGTTCTGACATTGTTTTGGACGCCAATGACCATAGCTGTCCGAGATGAAAGTTACAGGACGCATACATGGTGTCCTCCAGAGGTCTCACAACTTGTATATCTGGGAATTTTTCAAGGTTACATGAGGTCAGGTCGGTCACGTGACATCACTGTTATAAATCAATGGGGAAATATAAAAACTGTTATTTTGGCGCCGAGAAGGATCTAAAACTATCCCACGTACATCGTATCGTGATTTCATGCACTCCTTGCAAAGTCCAATGCTTTACTTTTGCATTGTTAACCTTGCGTGACGTCATTTATGACGTCACTAGGGTCGTACGAGTTTTTCGTCAATAACTCCCGATCAAATCGAGCTAGAGAGTCGGGAAAGCCACCAATGGACTCGGGAAGACCTTCCGAATCGAATGATATGCCATATGATACCCTTTGCCCAGCTTCGTGACCTGAGGGGCTCTGACCTGACCTTGACCCGAGGTCAACTACTTAAGTTGACCTCACCCTAGCAAAAAGTATACCATTCGATGCACCTGAGCTAGGCGAACACAATGATGCCAAAATCGCGGCTCTGCGGCCATTTTTTGCGAAGTTATTTATTAAAAACCGAACCCGTAACTTCAGTCACGTGACCTGACCTCAGACGCTACCGGTTAACCTGAGACCTTAAAATCGGGTACCAATCGCTGCGACTTGTAACGGCACACACGCTCGTGTTTTCCGCGAGGCTCTAGCTCTATTAGAAGCGAAACGGCGTGCTGGGGTCGTATCAACCCCTCCGAAACCCATTTTGTTTGCGGGAAAATGAGGAACTTATAGAAAGAACACCTTTCTAATTTTTTGCATGTCGATTTGCAATGACATGAAGATCATTTTGAAAAAAATAAAAATGTGAAAAATTTTGGTCCCAAAAGTCATTAGAGGCAAATGAAAAAAGATTAAGGTTTTTGCTCAAAAATGAAATTTTTTCTTTGGAATTTTTAAATAGTAATATTAATTTCTGATTCATCGCAAGCTTAGTGTTGTTTACTTTTTGTTGGTTGCTTAACCCGTTCTTGAGTTATAGGCCATCAAACTCACCGTTACATACCGAAGTTAAAAAAATGTAATGCAATATAACTCAAAAAGTTTTGATCTGAGAAGTCTGATATTTTGCCAGTTGTCTTTGGGGCCTATGATTACCCCTAGGACCGATTTTCATTAAAATCTGAGAGATGAGGGTGACGGGCCTGGTACGATCTATCGTGGAATGCCCCAGGCCTTATACGATGGATTGTGCACCATTTTGACAGAGTTTATGACGAGAGGCGCCCATTGCGAAGTCCTGAAGTCCATGCTACTGAAAGGCCGATTTCAGGTGTTTGACCTGACCTTGACCCGACCTGTGACCTCAAAACTCAACTTTAAAGTACTCATCTGAAGCGTCTCGTCGCGCTCTTTCGTTTGCCGCCTCGTGCGTTTCGCTGCGCCTATTGGTTCTCGAGTTATCGGCTGGGGGCGTTTAACGCCCCCCCCCCCCCCCAGCAAACGGTGGGTGGCGAAATACCCCAGCAACTGCCGGGTTAATGAAGCTTGGATTATAAAGAATATTAGCGAAAAGCTGTGAATTTCGCTGCACTTCGTTCATGAGCCATTGCTTAACTAGGTAGTGAAGTCTCACCTTGAAAGGAAATAAATGACTTGACGGAAGTCTTCAGAAAATTCACATATTCTGATGTAGACAAAAAAGTAATAATAATATGGGCGCAAAATGACCTCGCAGTCGGCGCGCCCCTAACCACCAACAAACAAAAAATAATGATAGGCATTTCCATCAAATGCGATGTTTCCAATACCAGTCCATCATGATTCTAGTTTGTCACTGGATTTGTAATCCATCCCACCGGTTACCAGCACAACTTTGTGTGGTCACTGTTTCCATATATAGCATCCTACCTTTGTGTTTGTTTTTCAGTGCGAGGCGGCGATTCTGCGTCACGGTGCCGCCCTTCTGAAGGTGAAACCCACAGACACCGTGGAACTGCTGAAGAAACTCAGCTGCGCCGTGAGTGTGAACCCTCAGACGGCAAGTCAGTTATGCCCCAGCTAAAAGCTATTGATCTTTGTGCTGTTACTTCTCGTATGACTCTCAGTTTGCTTGTACTCGCAGGCAAGCTCCTTAGTGCGGTGTTTTCATCAAAACTGTAAGTTGACAATTGACTATCCAATGCCCATACTTGACTGCAAGCCCATGACTACCCGTCCCCGCCCGACTAATATCGTCTGACCGCCCCTGTCTGCCCCGTCCTCAGCCCAAGTCGGGCGCTGACGCCGACTCGGAGCGTTCGGTGCCCATTCAGCAGTATCTGGACCTGTTCGTAGCGGCTCCGTCCGCCCAGGCCTCTTTCCTGCAACACCTGATGGAGGTGAGAGCACGGGCGTCTTTCAGATGTATATTGACAACTATGAGGGCTGACGAAACCGAATATACACAGAATGTACAAACTTCGGCGGTTCTGTGACGCTAGTCGGGACAGGCTTCACACTGTTTCTATGATGGCCCATGAACCATGTCTTCCAGACATGGCTCATTTCATTTCCTGCCCTAAATTAACCCGACCGTCGTTGTTCGCGCCCCCAATTTCCTCTTTGCACCGCTCTCCCCATACTCTGCCGCCCCCTGACCCCGTGCCTTCGCGGCTCCTCTCCGCTGCTCTCCCGCACTCCTGACCTCTCCCTCTGACCTACAGGTGCGCCCAGCGGCGCTCGACTCCGATGCTCTACTAGCACTGCTCGAGGTGTACCTTCCCCGCTCCGAAGAGCAGCAGGATCCAGGCGACGACTGGACGCCGCCGGGAGGCTTCGGCGGCGATGGTGGCGCCTCTAGCGGTGGTGGTGGCGCAACCGGTGGCACAGACACCAGCGCCCCTGTCGGCGACACGGAGAAGGCGCTGCGTGTGCTCGACTGTGTGCGACTGAAGGACGTGCCGCTCGCACTGCGGGTCTGTCAGGACCACGGCTTCCAGCAGGGGGTCGCCAAGCTGTACGAGCGATACGGAATGTGAGTTTTAGACGAACAGCAGTGTTCTGCTGCTTCTACGCTCCTTGGAAGAGAGCCATTTTAATTTCAGGCTGTTCCTCGATCTACTGCTTTTACGACTCATAGTAAGACCACTCCCGAGTTGTTTTTCCATTTGAGCCATAGCTACCGATTGAGCTTTGGAAAGTATCCAAAACGCTCCCACAACAGTAACCCAGGTTATGCCTCATCGCGTACCTCAGTTTCATGAGCTGACTAGTTATGCCTTACACCCTCTCACCCCCTTCTCCGTTCTACAGGCACTCGCACATCCTGCACACGCAGCTGGAGGCTGCCGACTACCCGGCCGCCCTGGAGACGTGCCGACGGTTCGGCGGCGAGCAGCCGCTCCTCTGGCTGGACGCTCTCAGGGCGCTGACCAAGCTGCTCAACCCGCCGTCAGAGGTCATCACCGTGGTCCTGGATAACATAGGTGAGAGGGGATGGAGAGAGAAGGGGAAGGCTTAGAAGGAAGGGGGGTGAAGTAGGAATCGGAAATGAGAGGAGGGGAGTGGAAGGAATGGAGGGGCAAGTGATTTTATTGGAAGGATAAATGTGGTGGAGGGCCGATTAGATAAGAGGATTTAGTGGGACGTATGATCGTTTGAATATTTTAGTGCAAATACGGGGCAAATGCAAAAGCGGTTGGGTGTGTACTGGGTTTATATACTTATTTGTGAGATTATGACCATGCTAGAAACGACGAACAGCTTATTTTTGGAGTATAGGTTCTGGTGATCTTAGTAGGGCAGCTGTATTGAAGAAGCTACGTTACGAGCTTTCATGTTAGGTTGAAGTCACTGGCATGTGTTAATGTTCAGGTCGCGTCAGAATCAGAACCACCCACCACCCTCGTCTATTTCAGAGAAGGGTAAGGTGGCGCCCAGTCTGGAGGTGGTGGAAATCCTGGTCGAGTCGCCCACCCTGGAACTGGGCGCCGTGCGCGACTACATGATGCGCGTGCTCACGGCCGATCAAGAGGCTATTGATGAGCACACAGCGGCCGCCCAGAAGTTCGCCGAGGAGGCCGAGTCCATCCGAAAGGAGATCGAGACCGAGGAGAATAGGTGGGTTGGGGAGTGACTCCCTAAACGGTGGGACGGTGTGCATTCTCTGCGATAGTTTATTGGTAATTATATGACATACAAGCTACAGTTGCCTACACTTATTGTTGCTCTGTTGTGATGAAGACAGATAGACAATTATCGTTGAAGAGGAGCCTGCTTGCAGCTGTTGCTGAAAATGAATGTAGAAGAAAATTAGAAGGAGTTTTGCTATTTATTCTTTTCAGTTGGTGATTTTTTACTCTCTCAGGTCAATCAGTAACCTTCAGTTTCCGTTTTCTTTTTTTCGGTAGGTAACTCATGCCTATCTGATGTCTGTGTTTCAGCGCTATGGTGTTCCAGCGCACCATTTGCTCGGCATGCAGTCAGCCGCTGGAGCTGCCGTCGGTGCACTTTTTCTGTCCGCACTCGTTCCACCAGCACTGCTTCCAGAGCTACGCCGAGGGAGACGACTCGTGTCCCCTGTGTCTGACGGAACAGACCGAGCTGAGGCGGCAGACTAGCAGTCAGGTAAGGGGGAATATACTGACACACAGTAGCTGAAGTAAATGACCTGTCCAGAAGTTATATTTAAAGGTGTTGGCTGTTGACACTTGACATGCGTATCAAATTATTTCGATAGTGATTTTCTTATGTCTGCAACTTATTCCATCTCCATGTAAATTCTTGTGCTGATCCGTCTGTGTACTTTCTTTATAATACACAAGGCCCCCAAACGTCCCCAGAAAGCTCACCAACCCTCCCCCAGAATCAGAATCAGAATATATTTCATGACAAGTCCACTCAATCATGGTTTTTCATCGCCATACGTCAATTATTAATCGCTCTGTCCACCAGCCGACTGAATCCACGGAGGGAGCCGACATGGAGGAGCTGTACAGCGAGCTGCGAGCGGCCGACGACAAGTTCAGCGTGCTGTCCGACTTCTTCGGCCGCGGGGTGTTCTCAGAGGCCGAGCGGCCGGCCGATGGCAGTCAGCAGGCAGCCGCCGCGCCGCCGCCGCCGCAGGCCCAGCCCCCTCAGAGTGAGTGTTAGGGCTTAGGGGAAAGAGGAACGGTGGTGGGGTGAGGGACAGAGGGTGGGAGGTCGTACATGAATGATTGCTGGTGCATCTCCGTCATAAGGCTAGTTAACCGCCTCTTTGAGATGTAGTTACATCTCCACAGTGTAGTGAATAGCCTCAGCTCTGTCGTAACAGTGAGCCACCATTCATAGTCTCCTCCACAACTGGTTACACCGACTCGACCCCAGTTTTCCCTGAACTGCTTGGCATCCATCTATGCTCTACTCGCTCCCCCCCCCCCCCCCCGCCGCCGCTCTGACCTCATCCTCCCCTATTCTCCCTCCGTTCAGACGTGAACAGTTGGAGTCAGCCCCGGACGCTCTAACCTCTCATCTCCTACCCCTCTCTTCGTTCAGATGTGAGCAGTTACCTGGCGTCGGCTCCGGCCGCGGAGCCGGTGGGGGCAGCGGCAGAGGCGCGGCTAAGACTGCAGGACCGGGCAGCGGCCGCCTCGGCGGGACCATTCGGTGAGTGGCGCCGGGATATCGGGCAAGGGGCAGTGATAAGGGTTATGAGGGGTACTTTTGGTTTTGGGGCTGCTTAGTGATATGTCGGTTGTGGGGTGCAAAGACACTGAACGATGGGGTGGCGTTTGTGTTGCTGGGTGAGTGGGTGGTGCAATGGTGCCAAGAGTAGGGGTTCCAACGGACGATGGGCACTGGCAGGTGCACCAGGGATGCTGGGCTATTGGACGGTAGCGTGAAAGGTTGGACTCATTCCCATCAGTAAAACACAGAGGGGTATGAGGATTCAGAGAGCTGCAGTCACCGGAAGCCTAAGAATCACTAAAAGTAAATGAATGGTAGTCATCATTGTAAGGGTATGGCTGCACGGATGTTTTCATTTGAGAATGATGTGGAATCACCGCGGATGTATAGATTGACGAGTTTATTTATACTTTCGTGGCGGGCGTAACTGATACGGAAGAATAACGTTCTAACCAGGGGGTACATCGCTTGAAAGTCACGGTTTTCTGATAGTTTCATTGTCCTATTTATTTATGTATTAACCGCATATTGCTGCCATTGATCGTTTTCACTGGTATCCACGAAACATAGATTGATATAATTTAGCTAAAGTATTGTCCGTAACCGGAGCTGTTTGCTGCGATGTTGTTTGACGGTGTGCTGTGCTGCTGCCCGGTACCAGGTGGAGAGTCGGAGGCGCGTGTCCGGACCGCAGAGCGCCGCTCCGAGCAGGCTGCCACGGTGTCCGAGGGCCGGCTGAGGGCGTCTCAGACCAGCCAGGTGGCGCCGAGTGTGGCTGAGGGGCGCCTCAGGGCGTCCCAGCCGAGCCAGGTGGCGCCTAGCGTCTCCGAGGGACGTCTCCGCGCCGCTCAGGTCAGTCAGGTCAGCTCGGCTGTCCCTGAGGCCCGCGTCAGAGCAGCCGAGGGGCGCTACCCGCATACAGTGGCGCCGCAGCCGGCCGAAGATAGAACCAGAGCTTTGGTCCGGCGACCAGAGATGGCAGTGCAGGCGGCGGCAGCGAAACCCGTCGCACCGAATCCGTTTGAAGAGGGCCCGAATCCGTTCGATGACGATGATGACGCACACAATCCATTCAATGAAAAGCCGTCAGATTCCAACAACCCGTTTGCGGATGACATGGATGAGTACGACAAAAGTCTAAATCCGTTCGAGGAGTGAAGTGTGAACCATTCCCAGTGTAATCGAGCGGGTCGTTTTACTGAATGAACCGTGGCTTATCATGCGTGCAAATCCGGTATATTTATCGTCCACTGGTAGCCTTGCGAATGAATTGCGTAATTATGTACTCGTTTGTGATTAGTTTTAGAGCACCCTGCGTCAATAATGTATGTGAGGGCCGTTCCTTTCGTGCATGGCTCTGCGCTGCTAAGAATCGGACCGTGGCACATTTGTATCCACCACTCAGAATGACACACTCTGTATTCCCGGGCTATCATGTGTTACATACGGGGACCGGATGTCAGGACGTCAGACCGGAGGCACATGTTTTGGTTACTCGGCTCTGAGTTCCCTTCTGGCCGTCCTCTGCCTCAGAGCTCCCCGCCTTGTGTAGCTGGGCGCCCACTGTGCCTAGTCTGCCGGGTCGGTAGCGTGGAGGGAGGGGGAGGGGAGGGTCCCCAGACGAAGGCTCTATGACTGGGCGGCAGGACTAGTCGTTCGTGATGGCGGCAGGAGCCCTGCGATCGCCCAGGATCCGCTCTGGTTTCGATAAGCCGCCGGCTGTGGTAGTGTTATTATTTAGCGGTCTGTATCGTGTGTTTATCAATGTCAGCGAAATGTATTGTATGAAATATAGCATTGCTTTTCATTTAACTTATCCTTTCGGTAATGGGGAATACGCTTTTCAAATATTTTTAGGGTAGGGGAGAGTGGGGCAAAGCGGCCACCCGGGGCAAAGCAGCCACCCATCGTTTTAGCCCTTCATAGCTGGCGTCAGTTCAAATTTATGGTTTCCAATTATGCTTCTCTTCACGGTCGTTCGAATGAGCCAGACCGGGGTTTCAGGCCCATCACCATTGTTCTGCGAAACACGGAAAAGCATTTCTTGCCAGGTTACCAACTATGTTTACAATTTTTAAATGTTATGTTATTCCACAACCGTTTGGAATTTTTATAAGCGTTCTTGTCCGTGCATTGCATGGTTATCGTACATGTATTCTACCAATTTTAATGTCTTTTACCCCACCAATAGCTAAGCTGGAATATTTTTGTCTCGGACGGTATGCGCGGGGCAAAGTGGCCGGGGCAAAGTGGCCACCCCCCAATTGGCCATAAGTTGCTTCCATCTGGATAAAAAACATTATTGATCTTCAAATGTGTCGTCATGCATTCATCTTGGCCACTTTTCAGTTGCATGAGTTACCAAATAATGCAATTAAATGTTTATTTTCATGAAAATCCTTTCTTTGTTTACCTACAGGTGGAAGATGATAAAGTAAACATCCATCCTCGCTTAACCTTATCACCATCAAATACCCTAGTCGTACACGAGGCAACTATTTTGTTTCTCATATCGGGACTTGAGAAAACGCCGGTGGCCGCTTTGCCCCAGGGTATGGGGCAAAGTGGCCAATATGCATAGGTTTAAAGTTTTGTCAATATCTTTCATATGTGAACGCCTTTGGAAATAAAACGCAGTTGAAATAAAAGGCAACTTAATAGGGATCACATTGGTATAGAAAGAATCTTTCCAAGTTTAAAAATCAAGCGTTGGCATCGTGAGAAGCGTTAGGGTGGCCGCTTTGCCCCACTCTCCCCTATCTATGATTCGAATGCAGTGGAGAAAAGGGTACCTACATTTATGTAATGTGGACACTTAACCTGTTTCAACATTCGAGTTCTGCGCTTGCTTTCTATAATGCATATTTACTATTTTGGAATTTATTTTCACTTTGGTCGACACATTTCCTAATCGCACTTATTATTTTGGTTGCACGTCAGCGTGTATTTCAAGCATCGGACCTCCGGGCGCGCAGCATTTGAGGTTGATTTGATTTTAATCTCAAAATGGCGCCCGTCTGTACATATAAAAGGCTGCAGTTCCCCCTTCGACAAAGAGCTTCATAGTAGCATACCACTTAAAAGCTAAATATGTCTGAATATAAATGGTTGTTAAGGTTCTAGGATGTGATCATTGATAACGCAACATGCACGGTACATATTTAACAACAGGTGAACAAGTAATCTCAGCTGTACTCTAGTGGAGAAGACATTAACTCACATTCTTACTGCACTTCGTAGTGGCATTTCACTGGGTCTCTCGGCATTTACTCGACAAAGATCATTCTGCCGCAGTCATTTCCTACATACGTCCAATATGGTGTAATGTCAAACCAGAGCCAACCCAGGCTAATCGCTTTGGAGTCGCCCGCCCAGTTAGGTGATGAGATTCATTCATTCCAGACATTCGTTTCGCCCAGTATGATAAAGCATTGTCACGAGCACACATTCACCCGCACACGTCATATATCTCTCAGTTGGTATGTAAAATAGTTTGCGCAGCTGGGTCGTGCAAAACTTCGATCAACGCACTAAATAGTCTCGGCCTGCTCCGGCACACACTACAAGTAAAGATAACTCGCTGCCAATCCTCTACCAGTGGTATTTACTCCAGAGCCGCTCTGCTCGTGTGGGTCGTGCCCTCTTGGTGAGTTTGTGGCGGTACGGGTCGATCGTGGCAGTATAGCGATATCATAGGAGCCACCGCAGAAACGGGTTAATGATGTCCACAGCGAGCACAAATTGTCCTCACGCCCGTACACCGGTGATCGCCAGCTTTCACGGTGTTCTCATGAAGTACGACGATAGAGCCCGCTCAATCCATTTACGGACCCTGGTGAGCCAGCCGGCTGGCTCCACAATCCCGCACCCCACCGGAGCCGGCGCTGTGGCTGATGCTCAGCGCTTGTCCCTGCGCCTATAGCGCCGCACGCACCTGCGACGACTCAACGAGTCCAGCTCACTTTCTCCGCAGAGTCCATCTCCTCTCTCAGAGTCCAGCTCCGCTCGGCGCGGAGATTCCAGCTCCTGACGTCTCACTCCTCAGGGCCCGTCCATCACCACATCCATCCCCACCGGGGACGATGACACTTCCAGCACGCCATCGGCCCGCATCATGCCCTCGGGCAGACCCGCCTCGCCGGCGAACGACTCCACTCCCTCCAGACCGAGCCCCAGGCCGGCCTCGTACCGCCCCAGGCCGAGCTTGGGGTCCAGCTCGGAATTGAGCTCTGAACCGGAACCCTCGGGCTCCAGGGCGGCATCAGCACCACGCTGCTGCAGCTCTCCAGGCGTGATGAAGGGGAACGACTCGATGAAGAGCACGTTGCCGAGATTGTAGACGTGCTCGTGACGTGGCAGCAGTCGCACGCCGTTGATGAACGTCCCCTCTGTCGGCGGGGAGAGATGGACAGGTCACTTCAGGTCTCAGGATGGTCGTGAACTTACGTAATACGTTTGTTCAAGCTGCGAAGGCGGACTCGTGGGACAGCTACAGGTCATGACTTATAATTTATCAAATACAACCAGTCAACTAGTTATCTTTTCTGAGGAAAGAGCTATTGCTTAAGTTTTGGCTCTTTGTTCCATGTCTTGTTATAAATGAAACCTGATCTTTTAATCAACTAAACCTTACATATTTTTTATTCTCGCTCAGTTCCTCATTAGGGTGGCACTAAAACGGGGCTAAAATTTCGTTTTGAGAATTTTCAACGGGACGGGCAGCCAATCTGTTCTACCACCCGAGAAAACGTTGCGTGTAAAATATTTTTGGAAAGTATGTTTATTTAGAGGTAGCTCAACCAGGTCAAATTTCACATTTTTGTGAAAAACAGAACATTGCCGAAATTTTAATTTCCACACGTATTTCTGATGTTCACAATGACATTGGACGTTGCCAAGACTTTATTGAAACGTTTCAGCACCTAAAGCTCAGATATATAGGTACATATGAGGTACATACTTCTTTTGAAGGTATGCATAACTTACTGCATAACTCAATGAAAAGAGAAAGCGGCATCATCCGAAATCAGTCAACACTTCTACACATCATTCGTCGGCTAGTCTTGCGTACTTAGAAGTTACGATCGCCTTGCGTATGTCAGAATGCTTGCGTCTTTGCTCCTCGACGACCTACAAGAGGAGCTGCTGTTAGTCTTTATCCTTCGTGGGGGTCAGATCGATTTCCTGGCCATCAACAAAATGCCTCGCTCCGCGAAGTCGTAGAGGCATGAAGAGACCTCATGTAGCGCATGGCGGCGTTGTAGAATGGCTTGACCTCCCAAAGAATCGGATCCTTCAAGAGGAAGTCGTGTCCATACCGAGGATGCTGAAGAAGCTTGTGAAGCCAGTTGTGGTATGACGAAGTCTGCGGTGGACTTGCTAGAGATTGAAACTATAGTAAGTTCAACGTGGGCTCGACGGGGGGGGAGGGGTCTTCGGCCCTCTCCTTCTCTCGTAAAGATGCAGCCATCTCACGTTTAGTAGCAGCGATCGTAATCTTCATTATAAGGTGAGGGCGACCAGCCTCTCATTTAGATACCAAAGGTGACGGCTGAAGGCAATGCCTGTCGCCTTGGACACCAATTCGATCACCAATTCGTCAAATTCGTACTCCAGGAGGGACTTGAGGAAGTCGAGATCTTGCGCTGGTGCAGACGCCAGAAGCGGTGCATTGAATCGAGCCGAAAACTACGTTGTTACCACAAAGCTCACGATTCGCTGGAGGCTCTTCTTAGACGTAGTGAGCCGGTATTGTGCTCGGAAGAGGTGAAGCTTCATAGCGTAAATGGCATTGGTCAACCAGCACACACGGAGCATATCGGGGCGAGCGATCTTCCTACCTCGTTTCGGAGCACCATCGAGGACAGTGATGCCAGCTCCAGCATCTCACGGTTGTCGCGTGAGTGCTGGCGGTCAAGAATATACGTCGGAACTGTGCAAGAGCATCACGCGGGTTGTGGAGGTGGGACATGTCACAGGTTTTGAAGGTTTATGGCTTCGTTCCATCTAATTCTAGACGCCCACTTTTTATGGAAGTGCTAAAACAAAACAACGTCCGGGCCGCTGGACGGGCCGAGGCAGGCTGAAAATGTCTTTATAGAACAAACTCGTCAATGTCGTGGCAAGTCAGGTGGAGCAAGTCCTCCTCGAGCCGCTGCTCGATGATCGTGCAGGCTCCTGCATTGAGACCGGTGTTCGATGCACTTGTGTCAAAAACTGAGCGCTTTCACTCAATCCTTCAACTCTCACTCATCGAGGGATTCTAGAACAGCGTTCGCTGCGGCCTGTCAATTTGAGCCTGACTAGCGAAAAAATGTTCTGAAATGGCTTAGCAAAACACAACTTATCTTTTTGCACGTGCACGTCTTCTCCCTGACATCACGAAGACACGGAGACCTGCCCTGTGGCCGTACACTGGCAGTGTCCCCCTGCGCATCAGTAACCGGGGATACATCAGCAGAGTAAATGCGTATTACAAACGGATCACAATACTCAGCAAAGAAAAACCATTCCTGATACGCATTTATTTGCTCATGTAACCCCGGTAAGTGCTAGCAGTCTCGTGACCCTTCCCAACCATTGTGATACGAGAGAAGAGCTGAAGCTGCACGCCTGGCAGCGGGCTACCGTCAGCGAACAAAATAAGCTTAACTACGCTTAACGGCCATTAGTTAAATTACGCATTGCGTCACAGCGCGTTTGCGGCGAGAAACACTGTGGTTATGGAACAAATAGGAAGGCATCTATCATTCATTTAAACGTGTTATGGCTCAAATATGACAATGCTTGGAAAGGCGCGACACACATCTGAATCCCCGTTCACAATATACGTTTTGTCAATATGTACCAAGTATGACCCCATTGAGCTACCTCTAATTATAAATATTTCTTGATAAAATTTCATACAGATCATTTTTTCGTGAGGTAGAACAATATGCCTACCCGTCCCGGTCGAAATTAAAAAAGTCGAAATTAAGTGCCACCCTATTCCTCATCCCCGCCTTACCGTCGGTGACGGCAACCTCGATGGTCTGTCCGCCGAGCGTGGTGGCCGTGAAGCCGTCCTTGAGGTCGTGAAGGTACAGCCGCTGCCGGATCAGGTGTGAGAGCAGTGTCCGGTCGCGCAGAGCTCCGTCCGTCAGCAGAGGGTCCGGCTGGCCCGGTCCGCCCAGCGCTCTGGACACGGCCGCGTCATCCAGCGCCAGGAACGTGTACTTGTCTGTCGAAGAAGATGGAGATTAGGTGTGAGCAAGATAACTGGGTGTGAGGGGATGCTTCGCACTGGAGCGCATCGCATATTATTGGCACTATTTTATCAAGATATCAGGGGAAGAGGAGATGGTGTTTGGACTCCGCGTGACTGTTTGTCATCGCGACTCTTGTGATTTTTGCCAGACACTGGCATGCTCACTGCCGACGTGTAATACTTAGCAAAAGTCGCTTCAACAATATCAAAGCCGTGGCTGAAAACCCACTAACAAACCAAAGAAAATTGGTGGCCTTGAGCTTTAAAAACTAACGTCCAGCACCCTCCCCCTCCCCCTTACACACACACATCCACATCCGCACACACATGCACACAAACACGATCCTCCAACTCACAGTCGTTGGAGACGTTCATGGCGATGTCGTCGAAGCTGCTGTAGATGTACTCGACGAACTTGCTGTAGGTGGACGTGCTGCTGTTGTCCCGGTGGGTCAGCTTGCTGATCAGGTGCGCCAGGAACATCGCCTCGCCGGCCATACCTGTGGAGATGGTCACCGATATAAGTTTGGTAATGCTGTCAGCAAACACCTTACTAGTTCCCAGTGGCATTCTAATGACGGACTTTGGAATCGTCGCTTCACTCGCATCACTTGTGCTTGGTTCTGAAACTCCTGACCGTGACTACTTTCGTAGAGTTGCTATAAATTAGTTGTCCCCCCCCCCCCCCCCACTCCACCATCTTGCACCCTGCGCCAGCCAGCGCTAGGCCCTCGCTTCCTTTGTATACGCCACAGTCCACAGTACACAACCACCTAACACCCTCTGCCTTATGCACCCACCTGCGAGCACGGGCGCGGTCTCCTTATCGCGATGACTCAGACGCAGTTCGGCGATGATGTCGTAGTCGACAAACAGCAGCTCGTCCAGGAACAGGATGTTTCCGTGTGAGATGGGCGTGTCGCCGAGGAACAGTGGCTTTCCGTTCACAGACGTGCTCTCTGGGGAGACGTGCGCGCCAGTGTTAGTGAAGCCAAGCCAATGGGGATACAGAGCAATTGGTTACTCTGTAATTTAGGCTAAACGACGCCAACGCCGTGGTTTGCGGTGCTGAGGCGATTTAACATGTCAGTGATAAAGGGCGTTGAGCTCATACCTATCCGCTGCGCTATCACAGCTAAATCAGTTACAACTACATACCAATTTGCTGATGTGGTCCCCAAAATTCCCCAGCATTTATACGTACTTAGAATCAACGGGCAAACTAATTGAATAACAAGGATACTTATGATTCCGGTATCCGCTTTTCTGTGCATCATTTTCCCCTGACGCCCCGCGGCCGTATTCCTAGTCAGTTCGCTGAGGCTGAAGGAGCTCTCTGAGCGTCAGACTGCAATGACGATTGGCAGGTAATGTGTCATATTTCCTCCGCCGTACCTGGGCCCACTTTGAAGACGAGCTCCTTTCCTCCCATGGTGGAGACCTTCATGCCGTTGGTGATGTCCTTGCTGGTGAGCTTGCCCTTGACGAAGTGGTTGAGGATGGTCTCGCGGGTGAAGCTAGTCACCAGGAACGGGTTGAAGCCCCAGTCGATGGGGTAGAACCTCTGGAAGGCCTCGTTGACCGGCAGGAACAGTGTGTACTCCTCGTCTGTAGAACAGATGGGTTTCGTTGTTAAGCTGTATGCCAAGATCAGTCATGAGCCAGCATTTCTTAGTTCAAAACGCTCACAACTGCTAAATCTCATGGCGCACATGATGACACGAAAAGTGCACGGTAAATATCACACGGAGCGTTGAGCAATGTAGGCTGATAAGGCTTATAATGCGATCCTGCTTGGCGTAATCGGTTAAATCCCTTCACAGAAAATGCCGCTTTGAGGCAGTCGTCTAACGGCTTTTCAAGGCAAAGACTTCAGATCCATGCCGACAAGATGAGACGTCCCAAGACGCCTTACGCCGCCAAACGCCTTAGAGAAGGTGAAGTCCATGAGCCAGCTGGAATCAGCCTAAATGTGCGCCCAGTCCGTGGTGTTAGTGGTGAGAGTGAGACCAATGCAGAAAGCAAACCGAATTAGGTACTCTGAGCTGAAAAGGCCTCTGACAGGCCATAGTGATCAGTCCTACCTTATATCGGATTCGCCGCTCGCAGCAAATATTGTAGCTGAGTTGGTAGGCGTACAAGTGTATCATGGACTGATCCCTACTTTGCAGGCATTTTGACAGACGCCTACCTAAATTATCAAAAGAAAGTAAGCTATCGGGTCACTACCTGGGTTGTTTGAATATCGAACACAAATCACCCAGTCACACCGACTCACCTTTCTCGAAGAGTCCGGTGATGTTGGACTCGTAGAAGAAGCCTTGGAATTCGCCGACGCCCGCTTTGAGCAGGCTGAGCGCGTCCTCCACCGCCTCCAGGAAGGAGTCCTTGCCGGCCGGCGGGATCTTCACCCTCTGGCTGCCGGCGGTGAACTCATTCTGAATCGGATCGCTCTCGATCGGCGGCCCGAACTCTGGCTCTCCGAGGTCACCGACCTCGTTCAGCAGCGGCAGAACAGCCGTCTCACTGCCGGCCAGGTCAGCCGCCTCGCTGGCGGTCAAATCGCCCGCTTCGCTGCCACTGCCCTCTATGATCGTCTCGGCAAACTGTGGTTCGTCGGCCGGCTGGTAGGTGTCTGGCAACGGGATGTAGTCGTCGGTGCGCACGATGCTGGCGTTGGTGATCTCCAAGATGTCGCCAATTATCTCCGTGTTGTTGACGTACAGAGTGCCTGTGGAAAGATGATAAGGTTGTGACGTGGTTCGTGGCCGTGGTAACTGGCAAGATTTTGCTTCGACTGCAATAGACGTCAATGTGTCACTGTCATCGAAATCCTTGAAAAACTGCCTTGTGGTAGGTTCAATATATTTTGTCTGTTTCATTGATGACGTGTTTCTACTTCCATTCTAGCCGTTATATTTGCACAACCGGTTTGGCGTCGTATGCTTTGAACGTTCAATTACCATGCCTACGCTGTCCGAAGTTAAAAACTTTGTCACCAGATGGCTCTAGCATCGTACGCCTGAAGGTATGCTGTACCGCAAGACTTCCGGTACTGCCTTTTGTCACGCTTTGAAATTGAGACCGGCTCATGGCCCACAAGGCGGTCGAGTCACGGGTTTGCCGTGCTCTCGATTTTGAAATGCGACATGAACCGGCGCAAGGGGGAATTAGTATCGGCCTCAAAGCCTCATGATCCGAGCAGAACTCGAGCTAAGACCCGGCTTCACCATAAATCGTAGAAAGCACTGGCAACAAACAATGGCGGTGTTGTGTAACCGCACCCAACCCGCCGAGTTCTCGGGTTGGCTGCTAACGCCCGCGGTAGGCCCGCCGTCACTTTACGTCCGGCCGGCACGGCCGCACGTGTTGATGACCTGTGTGTCGTGACGTTGGTCGTGACGTCAGCGTCGCGTCACGTCATGCGACCGTGACCCGAGTGCGGCGCCGTGCCAGGCTGCGCGCCGGACGGTGGCTCGAGAAGTGCTACCGAGCCGGCGGCGACGACCGCACCCGGACGTCGGCTATTCAGGCCGGGTCTCAGCGAGTCGTGCCGGGCTGAGACCGAACGGTGCTCAACTGGATCGAATGGGACGAACGGAACGGGACCAAGTGAGGCCGAGCTGAGAAAGACGACACCGGGCTGGGCGAGATGGGACGGAACTAGACGAGGCGGGACGGAGCTGAATCGAACGAGACTGCTGAGAAAGAAGACACCGATTTAAGAGGACGAGAAGGAACTGAGCTGGCTGGGCTTGAACTTAGCGCCGGACGAAACCGAACTTGACTGTGCACTGTGCAGTGTGCATTGTCTAGCGATGCCAAACCGCGCAAGTTTGATGGAATTTGATGGAAAATCCGGGGCTGGGGGGTGGCCTGTGCGAAGTCATGTACATATGTCCACACATTGAGCCTAGGCGTTTTATCAGCGGCTTATTTTTCTCACAAGCAATTGCTGGTGGATTTGTAACGGGACAACCCCATGGAACTCCATTACCTACTCTTTTTGCTCCATTCTATTATAGTTACTCTGGGAATGAAATAAACACCGTTGAATCGAGGGACATACCCAGCTCGACTTAAGTAGGGTCTCACTTTGGTCACATCAATACCCTTTTGTTGGTGTCACTGACTGAGGGACATACCCATCGTGTTTTCTTGGGGAAACGCCAGACCCCGGGATTAGATGTGATCGAGGAAGGTGCTGGACGGAAGCGCAACTCGTTAGTTTTCATGGACTTGTGCTGTTGACAATGGCGCCGTGCATATCGCGTGTTTCGTTATGGCGTAACAAGTAAACTGGTAGTTGCATGGCAACGTGGATATTTGTTGAATTAATGCTGGATACATGCATTGTTGATGTCACTTCGCGTCATTTGTCCGTGCAGCCAGCTTTGATTGAATAACCCACAGCGAAACACAAACATCACAGGAAAATCACCCAATGCCTTCACAATTTAATTGCCGGTCTGGTAGATCTTCGGAACCACATCGTCCTGTAGCCAGAACTGCTGTTCCATTTTCCCGAGTTTTTCGCGGTGGAATGCGATATGTGGCCGTGAGTCACAGGCGGGGAACGACAGGTAAAGACGTCTGAACTTCGACATCCATCAACTGACCGGTTTGGCTTCCCGAAACACGATGGCAAATGATTAATGCTGACGTCAGCAACAGGTCATGAAGGTTACCGGTAGTAAAAAAGCTAATCTCCGGAAATCCGATGGAAGGACTGGTCAACCGAGATTTGGATAACTGGATAAACTGGCTAATGAGGCGTGTGAAAATGGTCGAACCACCTGACTCCTGGTACTTGGCTGACCGGGCCAACACTTTGTTCAACGTGAGTCACTTCCTTGACATTTCCCACTGTTGAATATGGAAGTCGATGTTGTGACCTTTAGGTATGTGTTTTAGCTGATGGTCAGATAAAATTAGATACCCATTTAAAACCAGAGTTACTAATGAAGCAGCTTCTTACTTCTTAGGGATTGGATAAAAAGTGCCACGAATGTCTTCTAAGATGATATTTGATTAGTGCGACGATGGCAAACATTATGGTTAAGCACGAACATTAGATGCTAAAAAAGCATATACACCGCATCCAGTGGGAGGACGCTTTGCATAAAAAATACATTATCATGCAGCTACCTGACGCCATGAAAATTAAAACCTATCGTGGAGCAGATTCTGCCCCACACTCGGCCTCGGCCGTCACCGGGCCGGTCCTGCCCGGTGGTATAACACCATTACGCTGCACGTGCAGTGTGCACACCTGACACGGTGTCGCCGTCGTGTAGTCCTGTCACTAAACCAGAGCACACCGCGCTATAACCGGTCCTCCCACCTTACCAGTCGACTTTCGGTGACAGCTGGGGCAGCGGTAACGGGTCCAGGTGCCATTCCGACCTCCTAAACCGCCGCGTCGGGCCGGCCAGCTCACTGCCTGTTGCTCCTTGAGCTTAGCTAGCGTGAGCCACATTTCACCCCACGGTGGATGTTTTTCTACCTATCCTCATGCATAATCAAGGACTGGGTTATATAACACTTAGCATGCCTAGGCCATTCAGCTGGCACGATCCGTGCTCAGTAATCAGATTTGGAGGTCCACTCGTGTTTCGTTTGTCCTCACCGCGACCCGGACCTCCAAGTCCAACTCGATGGTGCAGTGGGTCTAAAGAAGGTGGAGACTTGACCCCGGCCCGCGCCCGTAACCCGCTGCGTGTGTGACCGTGACGACATAGAGGGTTGAGTGATCCACTCCAGACCTGACAGTCTCCGAAGGCGCCGAGGTCGACTCTGGCCCGAAATTCCCGATTGTACGTGCTGAGGCGCAAAGAGGCGTCGCAAGAGCTGGGACAGGTCAGACAACATTATGATGCTGATATTTCCAAAGAAAGCGTGGGTGAGTGAATCCCCGATATAAAGATCAAGTGGCACGAGTGCGAATTGCGAACCGTTGCATTGTAGCAGGACCAGCTAAGGGAACACCTAAATGTGGGGGGGGGGGGGAACACCGCCACTCTGCACCTGTCAGTGAAAGTATGAACTGGAAATGAAAACAGCCACCATTTCTTATCAAGCGCACGTGCTGGTAAGCGTTGCCTAAGATAAGTTTCGATGTTTTAGTGTTATTAAAGTTCGCTTTGGGCCTATATCTGTCGCACATCCAAAATGGTCAGGGATGTCAGGTTTGTTAGACATGTTCCCTCATTTTGGCGAAAAGCTTAGGATAGGTAGGGTGCCCCCCCCCCCCGCTTCTCTTATCAGTGATACAGTTCACTGTTCAGAATCTGTCAAACGTTATGATACAGTTCCTAATCCGTCAAACGTTACAAAACAGTTAAAGAAAACGTCAAACGTTACTGCTGCATGAGGATATCAGCTACAAGTCGCCAATGATTATAAATATGTAAGTCCGAAGTTGTTAATTGTGTTACATGGCCAACATATGGTATTTGAGCAAGTGCCTATTCAGGCCTCCGAATAGACCAGACATGGTGCATTCCATTGCAGTTCAATGCAGTCCCTGTCCAATGGCACATAAACACAGACAGAACTTCGCATACCGGCTGGTGGGGCTCCGTCCGGCTCGAGCGCCGCAGCTGTGGGCCAGCCGGACATCGAAACACACCGGAAATAAAACTCGCGGCGAAGACGGGCCACTGAATGGCGCTCCTTCTTTGTTCGGGTGGGTGCAGGATGTTGTCACGGTCTTTAGGAAGCGGCATTCCTTCACGCAAAGTGGGTCTGTGCGCCGCCGTTCCGGCTGGCCCGGTGGAGGGCGCGCCGCGACCATCGGCGCAGGTGGAGGTTCCTGGCCCATGGAATACTGTAGTCAGCGGACTGCAGTAGCGGATGGCTGCGGGAATGAAGGCCAGTCGGGGCGAGAAAGATATTAAAACTGTTTCTTTGCTACGTTTATCCGCATTTGTAAAATGGAATTAAATGGAGCTATATAGCACATACGTTATATTTGGTTTTCAACCTAAGTCCAGTCATTCAGTGATCACGAGTCTCACTTCCGTCGTTGCTGGAACAAAGATTATCGTACTGGAAATTCCTTCGGACGTGCATTAATGCTTGCACGATTACGCAGGTGTGGTGTTGTGCCTAATACCTATCCACCTTGACAGCCATTTTCTCAAAGCAGCGGCTTTGATAACCGTAATGAAATGATATTTGTTTCTGTTTCTTGGAAACTGCACTAAATACGTGGTGATAATAATTAGATTACCAACTGATAAGTATTTCTTATCACCAACTGATAAGCATTTCTTATCAACGCTTGAAAAAGTAATCAAGATTGAAAGACGAAAACAATGTTGTTAAACTTTCAATATAACTACGAAGTTTACACGATGTTTGTGGATGGGGCAAAAGTCGATGTAAGTGCTGTAAAGCCACGGCAAAGTGTTGAGGCGATAGGCAGCCGAGGCTGGGCTATATGGGGATGTGAGGTGCGCAGAGTCGGAGGACATGGGTCAGTCGTGTGGGTCGGCCTTCCACGGAATTTAACCACCCGCGGCCCCTCTCGCCCGGCTTCGGTATACAAACGGAGCATGACCGGCGTCTCTTTGGGACCGGACCAGGCCTGATCCAGACCACATGGTCCCCGGGGACCGTGGGAAAATCAACAGACCCTCACGGGTGCAGGGATGGTGGTAGTGCGAGGTGTAATGGGCATTTGGAAAGACCGGGTATCGTGAATTTGCCTCATTTCAATTACAATGGGTCTAGCCAGAAGGATACTTTATCGGTAACTGTTAGGTAGCCTAAAACAGTGCGACAATCACTAATCAACCGTCTCTTCGATCGCTTATTAACACCAAGAGGAAAGGTGCTTGAACCAGGATATAATTACGAACGGCCAAATCAAGCGAACGGGCACCCTGCAATGTGAATAGAACCTAAGAATTCACATGGCGAGGCGATACCCAGTCTGAAAGGGAAATGAAACCATCATGCTCTGTCCCAGGACTGCCAGCATACCTAAGCATCGCCGAATGTTAAACAACCCTTTTAAATATTTAAATGACTGGCCTTGGCACAGATACCGCCCGCCTCACACATGGAGCTCTGACGGGCTCCATGTGATGGGCTTCCCTGTCCTGTCTGTACTTTAAGATTGGAAGACATGGCGACGTCTGCTTGTGGGACAGGAGTCAGGTTGCACTATGGATGACTGAACTTGGGCTGTCCATGGGATGGCCTTTACGGTCGATGATCAATAAATGACTGGAAATTGATAAAGATCGATGACATCAGCAATGACTCAGAGATCCCCGATGAGTGGTGGTTTCCTAGAGTCATGAGCTCTGTTAGCTCTGTGATACGAATATCTTCTGATCGCTAGGGTCAAACCTACGGAGTTTTGTTTTAGCACTGAGCTCTAGCGATGTCTGGTGAACGACGCGGCGATGCAGCCCAGCGTTGTACGCTTGTTTATTCTGGTCAGATTTGTGAACCATTGTGAACTCGGGTGAGTTCTAGTAAAACCTGGCGAGATCTGGTGAACTCATTAGTATTGTAAACGTTTATGAGGCCTAGGAGCTCTGGTAATGTTTGTTGAGTCTGGCGAGCACTGCCGCTTTTTAGCCTGTTGAGCAGCAGTCTTGTTACGGTGGTCTGCCCTCTGTCGGCCCCGCCCGCTTCTTGCAGGGACCCGGCTGGCCCAAAGCACTGGCTACAGCGCGTGCCACGTGGTGTGCCAGATATCTCCGGATATTGTGCCAGCGGATTTCCAACTAATCGGTAGAAGCAGCAGGTCAGAAGGTGGTCAATAGCCGGTCGATGCACCCATTCAGATCAATGAGACTGAATCAATGGCTGTCGGATAATTATTAATATTAGATGCTTTGTTAGACTTCGGGCAGCTTCCGTTCAATAAACGTCCACTTATACACTGTGTGGCTGTGGTCGTTGTGACAGGCTTATTCAAAGGTCGAAACGCTAGTTTATTACACTCAAGTAGCAGCCCGGAGCGGTTTAAATTGCCACTAAATTACAAGGGAAAGTGAATATGCGATCGATGCCACGCGACTTAACTGCAGGGTCGCGCGGCGCCCGGTTAGGAAATCTCTCCAGTACTAACAAACTATATACCTGACTCGGCGCTCTGTCAGCCCAGATCTGGTGCAGACGGCCCTGGGTCGCGTGGCGGGGCAGATGGCCGTTCGAAGTGGTTACGATGGGGCCCGAATGAGTGGCATTCCAGCGCGTCGGGGCTGCAGTATTGGGTCACCGACCGGCACCGAGTGCACGGATGTGGGTCAGTCTTGGATGACCCGGCCGAACGGCGGCGAGGAATGCCGTTATAGATCGACGCACGAACACGGCTGATTGGTGTGACTAGCAAATCGGGTGTCATGGCGGATGTGGTGATTAGTGGAGTTAACGATTGTCTTTTGGAAGGTCATTACGTTTGATGATTGGACATCGACAAATATTGGTGACATCAGCGATAGGAGTTATCATTTTTGCAATGCATTTTTGTGGGAATGCGTCTAATATTGATGAACTCTGCTAAGAATAGGCACAGCTATAGTAAATGCATTTCACAAATTGATGACATTGTGTCCGAATATCGGCAAATATCCACATGCCCATCGAATTCCAATGGCATTACTCAGCTCGGCCTTGAAGGTCGCTGCTGACGCGCAGTCCCAGGGATCAACTCATCCATTCCCCCAGCCACCCACACACGACAGCGATGACACAGCGCCGCACGGCCCGTGCCTGGAGAGCGTTGGAGGCCAGTACGGGACGCCGGTCGGGAGCCCTCGTCTCTGGGCCAGTGGGACAACTGTGGCTGGCGCGCCGCACGAGTCATGCTGCCTCCCTTCCTCCCGGCGGCGGGCTGACACGGGTTCTGGGAAGCATCGGCTCGGCACGTGGCGCAGAGGGGAGAGGTTCTGCAGAGTGCAGGTACCGCCTGTGCTGAGTTTGATCCATTGCAGGGCAGCAATGGAAATGAAACTGAGCAAAAAGCAGGACAGTTTTGCAGCAAAATACGAAATTATTGAACATCTGACAATGCCTGCACGAGCAGTTCCACAGAGCCTTGCAAGTTGCATCAGAGCTGGTGCTCTACATTCTGCAATGCCATGAGTCACGGATGCCTCGCGTGACTTTTCCATAACGCTAAGACTCGAAATTCCCAGATGTCTCAGATGTGCCGAAGCGGTACTGTGATCTTATATTAAATTATCAAAGGGAGCGTGACCAAAAATTGCTCATCAAATAAGCAGTTGTTTATGCTTGCACGCAAATAACCGACATTGTAGGAATCACGATGTAAATCTAATCTGATATTTATCTTTAGTATTAAGTTATCTGATTAAATTTAGGTTGGCGGTAACCGTTTATTTGAAGTGTGATAGATAATGTTCTAAGGCTGCTCTTGATGTCGTCCGCGAATGTAAAAGCTTTTATAGAGAAGCTCTATCACAACCATGACGGCTGAGACAGCGAAATGAAGGCCTCAACTGTCACAGCATTACATTGAAAACTCAATTTAGGTAGGTACTGTGTGCTGTCAAGTTGACAACCTGGGCGTTTTTCCTGATAACCTTCCTTGGCTAAACTTGGACAATGATATACGATCATTTTTCATCCTTCTGAGCCAGACACTGATGCGGCTGTCACTAATGCGCGTGTAAGTCTCACTCTGCCGGGCCTTGAACTGTACTCCAGGCCGCCCTTCTATATGTACTTCAGCTGCTTAGTAATCCACTGATCCCATGTTTCCTGGTCGCCAATTCCACGAACGCAGCTCGACACCCTGCCAAAACAGCCATCTGCCCCGTGGTCACCGCCACAGGTGGGCTGCCGCGGTGACGGACGATGGACGTCATCGCGCCGAACGGATCTAACCACTTCCGGCGGACGGCGACAGCATTGCTTTTTGCAGAAACACGATTTGTCGCCAGCTGGCGATCAACACTGGCTCATCCGCACCCTCATGTGCTTAGTCTTGTCTTTAATAACAGGCCGACTGGTGCAACTTTGGCCGCACAGCCAGGGACTGAAGTCACGAGTGGTTGTGTCTGACCTCACCCCCTTTTCGTGGCGTAAGTGCGGGACAGAGGCCACGGGAGCAGGTCTTTGTCTGATGTGGCCGCGGTGCGGTTAGGCGCATCCGGTCACATCAGACAGTTTCCTGTCTGTCGAGAAGGCACTATAGTGATGACTCCCTGAGTTACTTACGCCACGTCTCCCGACAAAGAGCACGCTTCAGCCCTCAGCCAAATGCCGCCGCATCCCTCCCACGGACCGCTTCTTGTACTGCACCCTTCCTTTCGCGAAGCCTTGTTTGTAAGCTTTGTCCGTCCACGAAGCATTAAGCCCACTGACTGACTACTGAGCTCATATTCCACCGTGTTGCGGTTGGAAGCTTTGGACTCTATGACTAAAAGAACCTTTGTGCGGGTTTACTTCTTGTTCACGACATGGTTTTCTGAATTGATCTCAAAATAAAGCCAATCAATATATCCAACATCTCTAAACGAAATTAAAAAGAAAACTGTCACACGCCAAAGTTTGGGATTTGTACACACCAATACGATTCGCGTGTCAGCCGATATCAGTGGAAAATATTATTTTGATACTAACTAGTGGCAAGTTCACCGTCTATACTATAACAACACCATCACCCCGCCAATGTCCATCAAAACACTCCCCTCTAACATTCCCCCCTTCCCCACCTCCATCCCATTCAGCTCCCCCTCGGCACTGACCGTTGCGGTTGGCGAAGACAGCATGCGTCCCGAGCAGGGTGGGCACGCTGAAGGTGCCACCGTCGGGCAGCTGCTTCAGGCGCTCCTCGGTCACCACCTCTCCCAGTAGGATGTGGTTGCGCAGCACGGTCACAATGTGACTCCGGTCCGAAAAGCCGGGCGTCAGCTTCACGCGCTCGAAGGCGGCGTTACTGGGAGCCAGCACGGTGTATACGTCCTCTGCAAAGGAGACACATCGGTTCCTTAGTGGCCTGCATTGAAAACATTATCTGTGGAGCAGATATCAGTCACTTGGCGGTGTGTATCGTTAACCCGCGCCCCGTTGGGCTCTGCCGAGCAACGCGCCCCGTTGGGGGGGGGCCATTTTGCCCCCCCCCCCCTAAGATCTCGAGAACCACGCAACGTAGCGACAAGCGGCAAACGGTGTTGGATAGCCCTATCAGGGAACTACCTTGTGACCCAATTTTATTGACCTAGGTCAAACCGATGACGTCACAGGTCAGGTCAAAGGTCCAATTTTCACCGTTTACAGGCATTTCAAGAAATGCGTTGTAAAATCGAGTAAAATGCATTTCATTGAAAATCATCAATGGGGAAATGTTCTTCAAACACATATTTTGCTAGTTGAGGTCACTGATACCAGGTCAGGTCACTGAGGTCAGGTCACTGGGGGGTCACAATATGAAAGTGTCGTGTGATACATGTTTTATGGTTCATTTTACATGACAAATGCGATTATGTGGGTCAGGCAGCCTTTGGGGCCAGCTTAGGTCACGTTTTGGTCAAGGTCAGGTCAAGGTCAGGTCAAGGTCAGGTCAAATTAGGTCAAATTTCAAAGTTGATATTTTTGCATAAAATGGGTATCGAATCGATGCAGCTCGTCACGGAGTGTTCAATGGTGGTCTTTGTTTTGCCGTACGAGGTCTAGAATCGCTAAAAAGTGAGTTCAAAAATTTGACGTCATCATTTTTGAACAGTTTTTTCGCTATAACTTGGCCAAAAAACGAGATATCGATCTGAAATTTGGTATGTATATAGAAGAGCGCAGGTACTATCACATATATTCCGGTTTTTTCGAAATTCGGAAAAATTTTGGATTTTTTTTTAGTTTTTCTAAAAAAAAATCAATTTTTTGAAAATTTTTGGGTCAAAAACCCAAAATTTTGAAAATCCGAGATAGCAGTTTTGTAGCGCCGCTTTTTGTCTATTAGACCATATAAAGAACTTTGAAATTGCTTGATAACTGTAGATTTGGTGAGCGTTTCAAGATTGCATGTTTTTTGCTCATTTTTGCTCGAACATGACCTCAGTTTGACCTCAATAACTCCTGACCTAAGGTGACCTAAGACTTGAAATTTGGTGTGAAGGTGTCAAATTGATGCCCGGAAAGGTACAGAAAATTTGGCGGCGCTGCGCGCCGCCGTTTTCTTGCTATTCAGGAAAAACCACAGGGGGGGTAGGGTGGCACTTAAAAATAAATTTTTGATTTTTAATGCGTGCGGGTGGTTTTCCGGTTCCATTCCCGTAAAAAATAAGGGAGGCAAATTTTTATGGGAAAATATTGATATTTAGAGGTCGCGAATCAAGGTAAAAATTGAGATTTTGGTAGCATATTTCAATATCATTAAAATCGCTTCTGAGTTTCCTATTACGCTATAATCGGATGATAATAAGGCATTTCTTAGTCATTTTCATATTGTTTATTGATATTCCATGCAGCTTCGGCCACGCCAGAACGCTGGTATATGTACTCCACTACTCCAGTTCCTCCTCTTTAGTAGATTATTGGCGCCTCATTGGAGGGAGGGGTATCATGGGCAACGGGCACCCAGATCACTTTGTGTGTAGCCTGGTTAGCAATTGCAGTCGATCTTCGGGTGTCAGGTTAGCGTTTTCTGTGATCTTTTCAACGATATGGAGGAAGAACTGGCGCTAATCTTTGTCTTCCATGAGTGCCAGTCCTACATCAGCGCCATACCGCGCCTGGTGAAGTCATTCACCACCCGCAGCTCCCGGACTACACGAGCTGCGGTTTGGTAGCCGCTGTCCTCCCAGTGGCCTTGGTCATTGATGATGAGCCCCGCGTCCAGGTCGTGTATCCTTGAGAGCTTTTTGAACGATGGTGTGAGGAAGCTCGCCAACGTCTCGGTCGCGAGAGCGGCGTTCATAGTGTCCACTAAGGACTTACGGGGCGGGTCCCCTCTCCTACAAGTCTATTGCCCGCACCATGTCTTGATTGAGCCCGAGGGTCGGGGTCTAAAAGCTCCAGAGTCACCAGCCGATCACTCAATTACTACAGGTGACGGCCGAAGACCGGGACTGTCGCCTTCGACAGCTCCTTGTCGGGGTAGGTGCAGAACGAGTTCACGAAGGTCAGGTCCAGAGCCGGCGCAGTGGCAGTAGAGTCCCAGACCAGGCGGCGGCGGCGGCGGCGAACTTGCAGGCAACGAACAGCGCACAGCGTCTGATGACCTGGGCCTCGGCCGCCGTCAGCCGGAGCCGCTCCCTGAAGAGGAAGGCATCCACGGTACGGATGGTCTTTGCCATCCACCTAACTCAGTGGAGTACTCTGAGGCGGAGAAACGGATGCCGTGCTTGGAACTCCACCGAGAGCAGTTACGCAGAGCTCCAGAAGTTTTCGGTAGTCTTCCCGGAGCTAGGCATAGTCCAGCGATGGAAGCGATGGAAGCTTACCAGCAGCTTGTCCCACTCCGAAACGTCGTCGACGGCGAACGCCACCGGTGTGATCCTGTCAATGAAGCATGAACTCCCATCCGCCTTTGAACCTCTTAAACAGCCGGATGTAGAGGCCGCTCGAGATTCTACGGCAGGTGGAGAAGGCCTTCTCTAGGACCAGCTCTTACACGTGGTGCCGGCAGGCCAGCTGGAGGACGGGCCGATCCAGCTTCTGCTCGATAAGGGCAAGGCCCTAAATGATAAGGGCTAAAGTACCGTTCACCAGCATGCTGTTCGCCGTCGTGGCGTCGAAGCAAAAGGCCGCAGTTCCGCTTCTCCAGTTCCTAGCCTCCCAGCGCTGTGAGCATGGCCTCCTGTGCTTGGATGGAGGGGAGTTTGGGAACGGCGAGGAGCTTGGCCACCCTAATCCCCCCCCCCCCCATCACCAGGACCTAGAATCGGTCGACGCTCCTTCTCTCGCGGTTCAGGATTCGCGGTTCAGCCGGAGTCGTATCAGAAGTTCCGTGCCGCAGTTGATAACAGGCTCACGTGTTCTTCACACATTACGGTTGGGCAGTTTGGCCCGGTCGAGGCCAGTTCACTGTTGGGGACGTCCGCTCGCCCGCATGCGCTTGGGAGTGTGAGTCGACGTTTCTCTCTCATGGTCGCCATCGTCAAAGACGTTCCCTCCGTGTGCGCGCCGCAACGGCCGGGTAAGTCTGTTGCTGGCACTGGCACTATGTAGAGTCGGAAGAAGCGCCCACGGAAGAACATCCCGAAAGCACAATAAACCAGCGCAGCTCATTGCCCACTCTCGCCTCTGCTTTCCCCCGCCGGCGATAGGCTGGCTCCAACTTCTTCACATTCTCTTTGACAGAAAAGGAGCATGTCTCAAGAACCGATAGAACTGTGGGGCTCGTCCTCCCTTTGGAACAGGAGAGACCGTTCACTCCTCACACTCATAAGAGGATATGACCTCCACTGTGAGAGAGAAGGCACCGGTCGCAGGCCAAAAACAGGCCTGACATGGGTAAAACAGCCCAGATCAGACCTGTCTTGGCGTGACCTGGACTGGCTACGATCGACCGGAAGTGATGGGATAAGCAATTGTTATACAAATAAAGGTCAAAATACGTCGGATATGACGCTTAATGACCACATATGTCATTCCAAATAGGTTTAAAGTAGTTTCCAAAAAGTTGATTTTTTTCCCCAAAACTGCCAACTTTGACCTCAATTCGCGACCCCTAAATATCAATATTTTTCAAAATTATTTTGCACACATTATTTTTTACGGGAATGGAACCAGAAAACTACCCGCACGCCTAAAAATCGGATAACATAAAATTCACCCTATTGCTAAGTGCCACCCTAAGGGGGGGCCAAAATGGCCCCCCCCCCAACGGGGCGAGGGTTAACATTTTCATTTCTCTGGGACAGACATTGGTCACTTAGTGATCTGAAGTCAGTTTACAGCACCCTTGCCTTTCGAGTGGGCTGACATTGGTCACTGAATACCATGGGGAGTTACATAAGTGTTTTTGGAGCGACATGGGGTAAGAACACTGGTGTGCAGGGGTGGAGATCTGTCAAAATTTCAGGGGGGGGTCCAGGCCGGGCAGATGGAGGCGGGCTGGATTTAGTACCATTGACTTATGTACATAGCAGTAATTCGTTTTCAGGGGGTCCTGACCCCCCCCCCCCGACCCCCCCCCCCCCAGTGGCGGCGCCACGAATTTTCGCCAGTGGGGGCAAGATTGAGGTGACCTGACTGTTCTCTGATACGCCGATCTGCAAAATCCATGAGCATCGCGGGCCTGGAAGGGGGGGGGCGTTTTCGCCTCCCCCTGGCGAATATTTCCGATACCTTACGAACGCTTAGGGATAGAAAGACGGAACTTGCTGTACTTTATCTTATCCCCCATTAATTTGACATCTTTTGAAGCAAAAAAAATTGGACTTAGCCTCCTTGATAACGTCTCATCGGTCTCAGGGCCGATTTTTCTAGACTCCTGCACGGCAAACTTCGGCGTCACAGACGTGAACTTCAACCAGATGCCCAAAATAGAGTTTTAGAGATAAAGACAAATTACGAGCACGGTTGTGTAGCATTTGACCTAGAAAAAGTACTTAGTCAGGTCAACGACCCTGAGCTGGGACTTTAGTTTTTCGTAAATAACTTCAGCAAAAATGGTCCTAGAGCTACGGCAGTGGCACTTTCGCATTCGTCTTGTCGAGACGCGTCGAATGACATACATGTAAATTGTTTGGAAAAGGTCAAGTTTTATGTTGACCTCATGTGACCTCGAATGACCTTTGGTTGACTTTTACACATGAAAGGTTGTTTGGGATGATTTCGTAGCCACTGGTCACGATTCTGGCATCCATTTTGCTCTAAGCATTCATTTAGAGCATCAGGATGGCAAAACATGTCTTAGTTATTATGCCCGAGTTGAATAAGTGAAATAGTTTCTAGCAATGATACTCTTGTGACTTTGACCCGCTCTGTACCAGCCTGGTATCGTAAGCTTAAGCACAAATAG